TGAGGAGAGAGCAAATGTGAAGGAAAGAGAGGGGTAAATAATTTGCTAAGAGCCTTGCTGGATAAAGGGCACAGGGCTTAAAGTCTCAGCACTATCAAGCTATCGCCAGCCACGGTGGCCTGAGTTTCATCTCCCGGCCAGGGAGGTGCCCACATAGTGCTGCAGACCTCTCCTGTCTTGCCTGCTGCTCCCCTCAGTAGTGTACTTTAATTATTTGCCTGTTCTGTTCCCCATTCTGTCTCTGGTGAATCCTCTCACCCCCCCCCCCATACCTCTGGCTATACCTAAGTTCTTGTATATATAAATAAGTAAAAATAAGCCTTTTTATTAAAAAAATAATAATTTTCTAATGCTTTCAAAATTATTCTTAGATGAAGGGAGAGTTTCTTTCCTCTTCCTCTGAGCTGGGAAGCTCAGCCACTTTCATGGTATGGAGCAGAGATTTGTTCTATGTTCTAGAAAATGTTAGAGAACTTCAGCAAGAGAATGTCACCACTTTTATGGTAAGAAGGTAGCAAGAAAGAGCTAGAGATCTGTCATTTTGATCTATGGATCTATAATAATGAAAGTACTTCAAATTCATTGTAGTAAAACTGCCTTAATTCAGATGAATTAGTAAAGAAGGCTGAAGAGGAGACTAAGGCTTACTAAAAGCCTTACTTAATTTTGTTTTAAAGATTTATTTATTTGTGCATACTGGGGTGCAGGCCAGAGGCTCAGGGGTGGTGAGAGGCTTCACCAGAGACAGAGGGGGGAGCAGAACAGGCAGATCGACGAAGTACACTGCTGAGGGGAGCAGTGGGCGGGCCAGGAGAGGTCTGCCGGGCCATGTGGTCACCTCCGGGACAGGCGGGAATCGAACTCATGCGGAAGCGGCTTTAGATGCTCAGTGCTGTGCTTTAACCCGCTGCGCCACCAGGGAGGGCCAGCCTTACTTAATTTATGGAATCAAATTACTACTATATTTGGAAAGATATTCAACTTAATGCAATCTAGCACCCTCCCCCTAAGCAGAGTTTTTCTTGAGCTGACATGGAATAAACTCAATCTTCATGTTTTAATTGAATTCATGTATGTGTTTTGGTTTGGCTTTCTTTTTCTTTTTTTTTTTTTTAAGATTTATTTATTTATGCATACAGAACTGGGATACAAGCTAGAGGTGCAGGGGTGGTGAGAGGACTCACCAGAGACAGAGTGGGGGTAGAGTAGGCAGATTGAGGAAGCACACTGCTGAGGGGAGCAGCTGGCAGGTCAGGAGAGGTCTATTGTGCCATGTGGGTCAGCTCCCTGGCTGGGGATTGAACTCAGGCCATAGAGGTGATAGTGCTGAGACTTAACCCCTAGGAACCAGGGAGGCCCTCATTGCTTTCTTGAGGGTCAGCTCCACTTTTAGACAATTACCTACTGGTGATCTTTGGAATTGAGAAATTTCCTGGCAAGCTAAGATCTATTTGCCTTTGAACAATTGTTATTTAAATGAAGTTCGTAAAAAACTAAGTTCTATTTTAAAGAACTTAAACTTATTTTAAAGAATTAAAATTACACTCTTCTTGTAATCTTCTTTAAAAATAAGATGCTGATTTGCTCAATAAATTATGTGTAAAGTTTATTTTTGCTCACATTGAATGAATGATGGCAAATTTTGAATTTGAAGAAAGCCTAGCTTTATAAACACTAAGGGATTATGAAATTCTTGACAATTAAATCTGGTAAACACAAATGTGAAAGTAGTATTTGAAATTTTTGACTAGGGGGACAACTCTTCTTAATTACCTGAGGATGTATGGGATCTGAGAAACTCCAGAAAAGGATCAGTGATGGCTGCAGCAACAGTTTACCAGAAAAGTGGACTCTTTCTTCCAAGGAGAGCCGCACAGCCACAGACACAGCTATCAGCCCTGATTGGAACATAAGTACTCGTTAAAGTCTGCAGCAGCTGGACAGGGAGACATGTTCTAGGTTTTACTCTTCTACATCGTCACCATTCTATTTCGATGAATTAGAGCAAAAACATTCTCTTGGAAGACAAAGAAAGAGTTGTCTTAGAACTCTGGCTTAATATGTAGACACATATTGACCAGTAGTAACCACAAGACACTTATTTTGCATTTGAAATGTGGCTGGTCCAAACTGAGCTGTAGTCTTCATATAAAATAAGCAATAAACTTCAAATATTCAATAATTAATTTTTTTTTTTTTTCTGTGAGGAGAGAGCAAATGTGAAGGAAAGAGAGGGGGGTGAGGATCTTACACTTTCCATGACTCCACCTTTATGGACCTCTCTCCCTTGACTGCTGAGAGCTTTAAACGGGGTGAGTTTTTCCTGTCTTCTCAAAAGGGGGGGGAGTGTTAGAGACAAGGAAGTCAGTTGTGGGAGTCCATTAGCCCCCCCACCCCTCCCTCAGATCCAGATTCCATCTTGAATCAGCTGGTGACCTCAGCCTATCACTCCCCTTAGCTTACAAGTTGGTCCTTGTAAAATGGACATGAACATGGATGTCAGGGTCTGTGTTCCACAGAGTTGGTGGGAGGCCGCAAGACTGAGAGGAGGTGCAGAAGACTCTGGGCAGGGACCTGGGGCACTCAACAAAGGGAAGTTGTCTTAATGAAATGGAGCTGGTTTGCAATTTGACAAATAAGAGCAACAGATCATTTCAAAGCCACCATGAAAGGGAATCCCAGTCATTTCTGTCCCCAAAGCTAACTGGGGCTCACCATAAATAACTGGGTGCCAGCAGACGCAGGTGATCATTTTCTCCGTCAGGTTGTGAAGGTCGGTAAAGGACTGGTATTCTTTCAGGTGGGTGTCGGACTTGTCCCCAAAGGTGCCTTCCTCTTCTGCCAGGTTTTTCCAGTCATCAACAAATGTGTTCATGATTTCATTTTGCTGCAGAGCTATTTCAACACTATTTTTTGAAAAACACTGGTTTTTAGTATTCAAGGATTATGTCTTTCAGCAGCTCCTCCCACTTAATGGATAAAAAAAAAAAAATCCCCAGCATATTTGCTAACGAATGATTAACCTATGTGAAATAAGTGATTTAAGAGAAAAAAAATATTTACAGTGTTGTGTTACTCAGAACTTCAAAGAACTTGCTGTCCAGTGGCCAGGAGGCTGCTGTTAGCAGACAGCCGCTGGCACCTTCCCCACCTACCTGGGTTTCCAAGACAGGGCAAGTGTGATCTCCCCAGGCTAGTGACTGAGCACTGCTGTTGAGGGGACACCAGGGCTTGGCCTGTCCTGAGTTATTCAGGACTCTTGCAAAGGGCGTCTTTGCTCTGGAGCTCCCTATTGTATTGGTTGAGATTTTTAAGTTCTTTCTTTTTAAAAAAAAAAAAGATACATATTTTTGTCTTGAAGAAGTGGGGTGAGAGGATTCACCAGAGACAGAACAGGAGCAGAGCAGGCAGCTACAAAAATACACTGTTTAGAGGAGCAGCAGGCAAGACAGGAGAGGTCTGCTGCACCATATGTGATTAGCTCCCTGACTGGGGATGGAACTCAGGCCTTTGTGGAGATAATGCTGAGACTTAACCCATAGGCCACCAGCGAGGCCCTGAAGCTTTTTTTCTTTTTTTTTCAGTGTGACCCTCCATAAACCTCAACGTTTAACTTACTTGCTCCACGAAACCTCAAACTGACAGGACCTCTGTGGTGGCACAAGAGGTTAAAGCACAACTTCATAAGTCTGTCCACAGCCACGGCAGCACAAGTTCGATCCCCAGCCAGGGAGGTGACACACGTGGTGTGGCAGACCTCTCCTCTCCCACTTGCTGCTCACCCCAGCAGTATATTTTTAGTCAATCTACCTGTTCTGTTTCTCACTTTCTGGTGAAACCTCTCACCACATTTCCTTGCCCCCCACACCTCTGTACCCCAGTTCTTGTATGCATAAATAAATCTTAAAAAAAAACCTCAAGCTGACAGAAAAGGCAATTTTCTTAGCCCTATGCAGTACCAAATGATCACCTATATTAATTACTATACTAATATACTTATAGGATTATAAATATGATATGTATATATAGTTCAAAACAACAAAGTAGAGATTCTCAAGACTTGAAGTATAGAGATTTGAAGTTTAGACGTGTGTGTGTGTGTTGGTTTTAGTTGTCACAGTGGCTGAAGGTACAGATGTGTTTAACTCTACTAGTAAACCTTCTTCAACGGAAGAGTCACCCCTAACTTGAGGAATTAGCTAAAAGTGCTAATACTGATTCTTTAAGAAATATTCTGGGTGTTAGGCTAATCCCTTAACAATCTAGAGCTGATCTAACAGACTCTATCCTAAAAGTCATTGTAACATTTATTGTTCCTTTAGGTGCTTAAGTGTGAAATCTCAGCTCATGCCCAAGACCTTTAGGAGATTTCCCACAATTAAAACGCCACCAAGGTTTTACCTATATCACTGAGAGTTCAAATGACTTGGTGTTTTGATAAGTGTGGTAAGCTGAATGATTCTCAATTAAGGGAAAGATGCTTTCTATAGATAGTTAATTGTAAACATTAAATATAACAGATACTCCTAAAAATGGTGTTTAGTGTTTAACACCACTATGCTAAATAGAATGCTCTTTTCAGTTAAATTCTTCCTGCATTTCATCTTTCAAATGAGAAGCGTTTCCTAGGACATCTTGTTACATAAAATGTGGCCTTGGGCCAGCAGTATCAGCACTACCTGTATGTGGAGTCCAGAATTTATCCCACAAACTACCGAGTCAGAACCTGTATTTTCACAAAAGCCCCAGGAAGTTCATATGCACATTAAAGTATGGATAATCCTGTATAGGGGATTTTACATCCTGGATCTTGAAGATTTAAATCCAGATTTTTTTTTTTAAGATTTATTTGTTTGTACAGAACTGGGGTACGGGCCACAGGCTCAGGGGCGGCGAGAGGCTTCACCAGAGACAGAGTGGGGAGCAGAACAGGCAGATCTACGAAGTACACTGCTGAGGGGTCAGGAGAGGTCTGCCATGCCATGTGGCCACCTCTGGGGCAGGCGGGAATCAAACTCATGTGGAAGTGGCTTTAGCTTCTCAGTGCTGTGCTTTAACCTGCTGCGCCAACAGGGAGGGCCAAAATCCAGATTTTTTTAAGATTATTTATTTATGCATATCAGAACTGGGTCACAGGCCAGAGGTGTGGGAGGTGAGAGGATTCACCAGAGACAGTGGGGAGCAGAACAGTCTGGACAGAAGGCAAGACAGGAGAGTTGCTGTGCCATGTGGGTCAGCTCCCTGGCCAGCTAGGGACTGACCTCATGCTGTAATGACTGGCAGAAGCTTGACAGGCTATGTCTTTAACTCCTGTGCCACCAGGGAGGCCCGATTTAAATCCAGTTTTACGTAGAAGCTTTAGTTAGTATATACAAAAGGAATTCCCAAGAGAGGTTGCTTTGGCTTCTTGATTCTATCCTCTCTGCCTGAGTGGGGAAGTAATTCACATGGGAAAGTGAAGACAGTACCTTTTTTTTCTGGTTTCCTGTTTCTTATTTTTCTTGCACTTACCACTAGTTTCCTGTGAGTGATGAATTGGAGGCTGGAAAAACTGCTGTCTGAGTTAAAGCTCATGAGTATCATACTTATGTTTTACTTTAAAAACTGAATATAAGATTTTTACCTTGTGGTCACATTGTTAAGAAAATCAATCAAAGACTTTGATTGTCTGAATGTCTCTTTTTCCTCTTCTGAAAATTCTCTTGGGTAATATTGGGTAGCTGCATTTTTGGGATATGTCCTAGTATGTTAGAAAATAAAAAATGTTATGCACCTGGTGGTTTCATCAAAGAAGCAATATCAGAAAAACATTAGTTTTTCAATTTTTTTTTAATTTCTTAGAAAATCTATTCACTGTTACGTTGGATTCAAGTTGTTTCTCAAGCATTGAGCTTTCATTTGTTTCCTCTTTGTCTCAACCTTTTTGTTTGTAAAATAGTGTGTACCTCCAAAGGCAGTTGGGAAAACTGAGTTATGTTCAAAGTGTTTGTAAGAATGCCTGCTATGTGGTAAGAACACTGTAAACATTTGCTTTCGCTGCCATTATTCTTTTGACCTCATTTTAATTTTTTTTATTTCTTCCCTTATAAAGCCCATCTTCTCCACCTGAGACCAGCTACCTTCCCAACTTCTTCATCTCAGTCAGGAGTGCCAATATTCTCCGAGTAACCTAGATTTGAACCATCTGAGTACCTTTTGATTCATACGTTTATTGCATTTTATGGGTCAAGACCTGCCTGATTTCTCATTTATTCACTTCATATATAAAGAAGCAGCTGCCTGTTATTATCAGCCAGTATTCATTGAGAGCCTACTAAATCTGAATCCCAGTCCATGCTCAGGGGCCCTATAATCAGAAGTTCATTGTTGTTTCTGAATCTGTCTTCTTTGTCTGCCCTAGTTGAGTCATCTGTCACTGTTTATGCACTGACAGAAACAGAAAAAGTCTGGCTATCTTGATTTAGAAATTTGTCGTAACATCTTAATTTTTTTTTTTTTTTTTTTGGTAATGACATATCACCTCATCACCTCTCCCCTTCCTGTCTTGTCCTTTCTTCTTGGTATTTCTGGGCCTCTGAGATCCTAACTCTCTACCAAGACTTAGCCAGCAATTGTCTTTCTCTTCAGCACCTTTGGTTCTGGCCTGTCTCTTCACTTGCCTCCCTGGTTTCTTACCCATTTCTTATGCTGGTTCCTGGTAGTACCACCCACTGTTCTGTCTACCTCTGCTACTCCTTCCTTATCTTCCCAGACCATTCACCTCATGGTTCCAGGCAAATACTCTCCTTCCTACCTTCTTGAGTTGTTGAGATGGCTTTAAATTTGGGGACTGTATTTCCTCTCTCTGTGTCTCCAAATCATATTCATGAATCATATTCATGAGCTATCATCTATAAATCTAAAATTATTTCAAAATAAGAAGCTATCTTTTAAACTGAAAAGATGTCTGGCTTAGCTAAACATGTCTTCACATTTACATAACATGAAAGCCTAAGTCAAGGGCCCAGAACATTCCCTCAGCAATCCATTTCACATCAATTTACTCACTGGATAAATTTTAGGGGATTATTGTATAAAATGTTATGGCTTATAACCTTATAACACAGATAAGCAGATGAGTATATTATAGCTCATCAGGGCTGCCATAAAGATACCTCTAAGCTCTACTGGGGATTCAGGATGGTAGTGATCAATTCAACCAGATGTTTCCAGATACACAGAGGCGGGGGTACCACAGGATGAACAGTGTAGGGCATTTTATGCAGAGAAACAACATGGACAAAGGCAGGAATATGCAGAAAGCAGGTATTTTGGGAACTGGCCTAGAGGTCAAAGGGCTTGTTAGGGACAAGCTCAGGCACATAGGACAGAGACAGAAGTTCCTCAAGGAGGAAGGAGGACCTCATCTGCCATCCTAATTGCTCTGGGTGTGTCAGGGAGCCCAAGAAAAGACTTAGGCAGTGAAGTAAAACAATCTGAGTTGATGTGTGAGAATGATCACTTGGTGCTTGAACACACCAGTTTGGAGGCACTGATAAAACTCAGAAAAGAATTAGCAGGGCTGCTCTGTGAAAGCACCTCTGTAATTATTAATAAAATGAGCATCACTCATGTTCCCACTTCGTAGTATTTACGGTCTTATATGATTGCATCTAGTTTTCTACTAATATTTTACAATGCACTGTGAAGCATAATTAGAGTCTCTGTGGTGACTGATGACATCATTGCCAACCCATTTCTACTTATCCTGAAGAGCTCTCAAAATAATAATGGACACTGCTAGATTTTATCATAATTGCCTTCATATAAATACATAAACCCATGCTTACCATCTTGTTTGAGTAGTTGTGTCCTTGACATTGGGAACTACTTGAGTGCCAACATCTTTCTCAAGTTGCTTAATGGTAAAGTTTTCATCTGGATAGGACGTACACTCAATATAGGCATCTTTTACACTGGAGGCATTCTGGTCACTGAAGTAAATCTTACTACCAAATTCTTCTCGTTTTCGAGAAATCATGTATGTGATCTGCAACACATACAAACATGTTAACAAAAACATGTCCTTAGTGAAAAACAGTCATGTGATGGGCAAGGCTGGCATCCCCTGGGGTTCCTTGTCATATTCTCTGTCAAGTATGACTGTGTGTGCCCCTACCAGCTGTTCTTCCATGGAGGATACTCTGTCTGTGGTCCCGAGAAAAGGAAATACCTGGCAGTTTATAACTTAAATGACAATGGTCCAGTAGAAGATATATGTAAGTCCATCTCCTTTGCCACTGTTTGCATTCCAGGGAAACATGCCATGCAATTTTATTTGTAACAGGAAAATAGCATTCCTTATAGTTGGTGTTACGCTCACTAGTATGTTTGGATCCAAATCAGGTCCAAAAAGATGAATTAAACAATTTGGGGAAAATAAGGATAGTCTTATTCTGGTCAAAATTGGGCAAGGATGGGCTTTTCAGGCTGTGAATTAGCCACTCACCATTGATCACACTGGCATTCCCCTGTTCTAGGGATGCAGGCTGAGATCATCACTCTGTCAGACTTTTGCTTGAGGTCACCCCCAGGCAGGAATTAACCCCACGCCCCTTCCTGTTTTTTCCCAGTCTCTTATGGGACAGTTTCATAATAAATCACTCTCATACACGTCATCCTCTTGGGGACTGTGTTGAGACCACTCTGTATGTTTCCTAGGATTTTTGTAACAAGTACTACAGACAGGTGGCTTAAAATAGGTATTGATTCCCCCCGCATTGTGGAGGCAGAAGTCTGAGGCCAAGGTGTTGGAGAGCTGATTCCTTCTGAGGGCTGTGAGGGAGAAACTACTACTTCTCTCTTGCTTCTGGGGAACGTCAGGATTCCTTGGTGTTCCCTGAAGTTGAAACAGCACTCCAGTCACTGCCTCCTCTTTCACATGGTGTCACCCTGTGTCTTTGTGCCTTCACATGGCTGTTTTATAAGGACCCCAGTATATAGGACTTAGGCCCTCCCCCAGTTTCCACAGGACCTGACTTGAGCTAATGACTTTCTGTAATGACCTTATTTCCTAATGGATTCACATTCTGAATTGGTTAGGGCTAGAGTTTTGACATATCTTTTTTTTTTTTTTTGAAGGGGACTGGGGCACACAATGCAACCTATTACACCTAAGACAATTCTATAAAAAGACAAGCCTTATATCACTGTAGCTTCTAGCACTTCTTTACAGACCCCTCAGCTGTAGTGTTTAGCTATAGTGAGGTAGTGACCAAAAATCAGATTCAAGCCTCTGACCTGCTTTGTAGATCCTCTGACCGATTCTTCCTCAATTTCTTTTTCACTGCCCAAAGAAACCCATGGTTTAGAGACAGGTGGCTTATAAACATACATGTCCTCGGGAAGATGCTCTTTAAATTCTTTAAGTTCATCCTGTTCTTCTGACGCTTCTGGTGGCTAGAGTAGAATAAATAGCATTCTAAAATATACAACCAAATTTAGGTTACAGCTCCATGTGTCTATTTTACAATAAATGTTACTTGTATATACATTCATTAAATACTTCATTTTTTCCCCCTTTTCCATTATGAGAGGAAAACTAAGCTACAAATAAAAAGGAAGAGGGGAACCAGAGTATGGGCAGAGGAGCTGCTGATTCTAGATGTTTCCACTCTCACTGGGTCAACGAAGGGAAAATAAGTAGTTTTCTGCTACCCTGGGAGTGTTGATTTAATTCACCCCACAATCACTGCTCCCCTGTTCTAGATGCCAGAACTGGACGTCAATCCCCTGGAGACAGGGCTGAACAGGAATAATCATACCCATGCCTGGTGTCCCCTGGGGGTACTGTTGCCTTCTGACAATCCACAAATTGCAAGGGCTTGTCTGTGCTTACATTTAAATAGTTTTCCTTGCCCTCTTCAGTTCCAATAAGATAAAAGTTAAGTCCATATTTGAAGTCTATGTCATAAACAATCAGAAGCTCATCGCCAGGGTAGTCCTGTAGAAATAGAATCAAAAGAGAACATCAGTGTTCAATAGTCACTGAGTTTATTCCGACATCGACATAAAAGTGTGATTCCTATCATCAGTCAATCAAACAAGATAAGCATAGTGCTAATCTATGGCTAGTCATCCCAGGCTGCAAAATTATTTTATTAACTTAAAAAAACTCTTATAACACATGGTTTCAGGGGAATTTACCATGTAATATTATTTGTAACAGGAAAATAACATTCCAGTAACATGTCTGTATCCAAATCAGGCCCAAAATTATGAATTAAACAGTATGGGGAAACAAGTGTTGATTCTTATTCTGGTCAAAATTGGGCAAAGATGGCGGCCCTCCCTGGTGGCGCAGCGTTTTAAAGCACAGCACTGAGAATCTAAAGCCACTTCCGCATGAGTTCGATTCCCGCCTGCCCCGGAGGTGACCACATGGCGTGGCAGACTTCTCCTGACCCGCCCGCTGCTCCCCTCAGCAGTGTACTTTGTTGACCTGCCTGTTCTGTTCCCCGCTCTGTCTCTGGTGAAGCCTCTCACTGCCCCTGAGCCTCTGGCCTGCACCCCAGTTCTGTATGCACAAATAAATAAATCTAAAAAAAAAAAAAAAATTGGGCAAAGATGGGCTTTTCTGGTTGTGGATTAGCAGTCACCCATCATTGATCAGGCTGCTTTTTGCAGAGGATGGTCAGGCAGGATTCCCCAAAAGGCACGGACAAGCTGGCACTGACCCTCAAAAAGGGGTATGCCAGATTTGAACTCAGCAATCTCTCCAGCTTAGTTATCCTGTATCCAGAATTTTTGAGGTAGGAATGAAGCGTAAGAGGCATGTTATAGTACCTGAATGATTTTTTTGACTGGGTAGAAATCAGATACTGCAGCTCTGTTTTTAAAGTCCTCAAGAATAGCTTCTTTTTTGATAAGTTTATAAGGTTTTTCCTCTGTGACATCTTGATCTATTCGGCATTGAAATATTTCCTGGGTCATGGTAGTTAACACTAACGGATAAATTTCTGGATGACCTGGGAAAGCCAAAGTAGATTTGGACATTAAATGTAACCACTTACAATATTAGCAATAGGAAATGTGCAATTGTTTGTTTTAAATTAAATCTATTTTAAATTTTGTTTTAGATCATTGTTTCAGTTAAAATTTTGAAAAACTTAGAAGTCACTGTTCTTATTTTTAAAGTTAAGAATATCCACTATTGGCCCTCCCTGGTGGCGCAGCGGGTTAAAGCACAGCACTAAGAAGCTTAAGCCACTTCCTCATGAGTTCAATCCCCGCCTGCCCCGGAGGAGATCCACATGTCACGGCAGACCTCTCCTGACCCGACCGCTGCTCCCCTCAGCAGTGTCCTTCATCGATCTGCCTGTTCTCCCCACTCTGTCTCTGGTGAATCCTCTCACTCTAGGCATGTCTGGCCTGTACCCCAGTTCTGTATGAATAAATAAATCTTTAAAAAAAAATCCATTATTAAAAATAAACAGAAAAAAAGAAAAGAGTAGTTACCCATACTTCTAACTCTCCAGGGAGAGGCTCTATTAATGGTTTCGCTGTTTCCTCCTTGCCGCTCTCTATGCTGGCTCTTTTGTGAAATTCTGAACCCTGCTTTTCATACTTATTATTACGTTACAGCTATTTCACTATGACAGTCAATCATTTTTTCCAATACATTTTAAAATGCTTATGCCTCTTACTTGAAATGAAGAGACACTAGACCATTTAACACATTTCAAATTAATATAACTCAGAATCATAATTTCAATCATTCTGTTGCTGGTAAGCATTATATTATTTTTTCTCATTTGTTTCCAGTGATTATAAGTGAGTCTACAAATAACTATCTACTTCATAAATATTTATCCTATTTCACATGATTTTCCTAAGATAGCTTTTAAACGCAAAATTTTGAGTCTAAAGCTATGCTCACCCTTTTAGGCTCTGTCAAGCCTTTATTGCTTTCCTTACCTGTTCACCTCTCTCTTATGAGGAGACCCAGTTTCCTATTTCAGAGAAAATCCTGTATTTGCACAGCACAGAATTCTGCTGAGTCCTGCAGACCTGCCCACCAGCTGATCAGCCTATCTCAGCCTTTCTGCACTCCTCTCTCATCCTATTCAGTCACTAAGGGTCCGTCAACTATTCTCTCTTCTACTTTCCCTCATCAGTGCTATTTTTCTTCACCATGCTCAACGGTGAGTGATTCGTTCAATAGTCTCCCATTTAGTGAAAACTTCCTTGACCCTTTATGGAAACCTGTTCTCTGGGGCTCCTTCTTTTCACAGTCAAACTTGTTATTCAACTTTCCACATTTTTAAAGCTACTAACTTCCCAATTAGGTTGTATTGGCAAACCTTTGGGAGTAGGGAAGGAGACAGGTGGCCATTTTTCCCTCCACTAGTTCCTGACCCCCTGGACTGCCCTCAGAAGAGGGAGGCAAGGTTCAAGAGACTTCTGTTGCTGTTTTACTTGTCCCTAACCCCCATTTCAGACCAAATTTGGACAGTTTATAGCAGCAGCTTACCCTAGGACAGGGGAAATGAATCATAGGACATCATTTTGCCCCCAACCAGCCCTGCCTCAAACTGTCTTCTCATTTTATAAATCTTATCACTATCAGCTTCCACACCTCCAGTCTCACTTCTGTGTATACCCCCCAGAGCTCCCTTCCCCAGATCCAAGCTACCAGGGTCACAGATCCCACCCCACCTTCTCTGTCCCTACCCTCCTAGATGCCAGCACGCTCCCCATGACGTTCAACAGATGGACCAGCAAAGGGGATGGAGAGACATGTGTGTGGCCTCTGAAGCTGGAATCTTGAATTTATTTTTTTCATAGAAACACTTGCTTTGAACCTATTGGGAGGATGATTCAGGAAATTTTGAGGATTTTAATGAATACACACGTAATACTGATTATGGGTAGAGATATTTTGCAAATTACAATCAGTTGGCATAATAAACAAACATTTGGAATACAAGTCATCCATAGGACAAGCTGCTCATTTACATTGCTCTAAAAATACCAACCCAAATACCTAGTACATAGGAGATGCTTAATAGGTAAATGTTGATTTGATTCACATATAAGCAGTCCTCTAAAACACACTGTTCAGGGAATTATTTAATTATTCTTTTTATTTATTTTTCTTACAATGTTTAATTTCTTTTCTTGGTATATTCCTCATAGGGTTTCCACCACCATTTCACCTGTGCACCATCACCATAGTCCCTTGGGCTCTTCTGCCCTCTTTTTGATACTTGTCTTTCCTCTCTCCTGGAGAATTTCTCTGATTTATAGTTGTCTGCTTATTTTTGTTTTGTTGTTTTGTTGTTGCTATTTTTTCGCCTTGATCTCACACTGTAGTCCTGGAAGTGATATCATCTGATATATTTTTTATTTTATTTTAAAAGATTTATTTATTTATGCATACAGAACTGGGGTACAGGCCAGAGGTGCAGGGACAGTGAGAGTATTCACCAGAGACACAGTGAGCA